GGGGCAGCGGGGACGGGGAGCAGAGCCCTGGGCTGGAGGGACTGGGGCACGGGGGGCAGCGGGGACGGGGAGCAGAGCCCTGGGCTGGAGGGACTGGGGCACGGGGGGCAGCGGGGGCGGAGAGCAGAGCCCCCGATTAGAGGTACCGGGGATAGCGGGGACGGGGCGCAGAGCCTGGGCTGGGGTGACTGGGGACACCGGGGAAGGCAGGCTGGGGACAGTAGGGACAGGGCAGCGGGTTCACCACCCGGGGACACGGGGCACTTCAGGGCTGGGGAAGCGGTGCTGCGAATGCTGAGTTTCGGAGGGGAAACACCGGGACCCCTGGGGGAGCGGCAGCAGGACGGCGGCGGGGTCAGTGGGTGACGGGGACACGCGGAGCGCCGCGGCTCTGGGTCATCGGCTGACGGGGGCGCGGGGGTCACCGGGGCTGGCGGCAGCAGAGCCTCAGGGACACCGAGGGCCCCCGCGGCACGGGAGCCTTGGCCCGAGGCCGGTGGGTGCCCCTCGGGACGCGGTGCCCCCGCCCGTGTTTAGTCTGGGCGGGAGAATGCGGGGGGTGACCTTGGACCCTGTCCGGGAGCTGGGCGGTGACGTGTCCCGGGCCGGTGGCGGCCGCGGCGCTGCCCTCTCACCTCCTTCCCCACCGGGATACCCGGCTCTGACGCCGCTGACGGACCCCGGCCCGGCTCGGCCTCCCCCGGCCCCCGGCGGGCAGGCCCGGGCAGGCTGTGCCGGGGTGCCAGGAGGGCTTAGCCTAATCCCCCCAGGCATTCCCCAGGCGAGCATTCCAACGGGGATCACGGTGGGCACAGTGCCACCCGCAGTCCAGCCCCGTCCTCCCTGTGCCTCTAACGCTGCCCCGCCGGGATGGGGGGTCCCCTGCAGCCTGTACCCCGTCCCTGGCTGGGAGGGGGGGTCCTCCACAGCATCCCCTGCTCCTTGGCACCCGCTGCTCCGGGCTCCCCGCAGTCCCTGCATGCCTGGGGAGGCAGAGGGGGGTGTGTCTACCCGGCCACTCCCTCCTGCTGCACAGGGGGCAGAGCTCGGGGGGCCCCGGGATGCCCCTGTGATCGAGGCAGGGGTGCCAGAGCCAGCGAGTGCTCAGGTGTTTGCTCCACCTGGCTGGTGCCCGGAGCCCCTCAGGCTGCCAGCCCCCCTCTGTCCGTCTGTCCATCCCTGGCCGTGTGGGGCGTGTGGTGTGGGGGTCACCCTGCCCAGCCTCTGCCCTCAGGGATGAGTGTGGGAGCTCCTCCCGCCCCTCCTCGCCGGTGCAGACTGGGCTCTGCTGTGCCCTCCCCCGCCCCATCGGCCGGTCGTGCTGCGGGGGCTGCGCTGTGCGGGCCCCGGAGCGCCGGGCTGGCGCCAGGGCCGGGCGGGGGGCGGGCTGGGCTGGGCTGGTCTCTCGCACCGGGGGCGGCTCTGCCGGGGCTGAGCAGTGTCGGGGCGGTTGGGCCGGGCTGGGTTTGGCGGGGCTGTCCTGCTCCGGGGGCAGCCGTGCTGGGCTTGGCTCCGGTGGGACCGGCACTGCCGCGCTCAGGGCTGTCCTGCTCCCGGGGCGGCTGGGTGGGGTTTGGCTCTGGTGGGACCGGCACTACCAGTGTCGGGGCTGTCCTGCTCTGGGGGTGGCTGTGTTGGGTTTGGCTCCTGTGGGATCAGAGATGTCCTGCTCTGGGGGTGGCTGTGTTGGGTTTGGCTCCTGTGGGATCAGAGATGTCCTGCTCTGGGGGTGGCTGTGTTGGGTTTGGCTCCTGTGGGATCAGAGCTGGCCTGCTGTGGGGGCGGCCCTGTTGGGTTTGGCTCCTGTGGGATCAGAGCTGGCCTGCTGTGGGGGCGGCCCTGTTGGGTTTGGCTCCTGTAGGATCA